TTCGTGATGGTCGGTCGCCGTTCAGGATGGGCGGTCGGCGTTTGGGATGGTCGGTCTGTGTTCAGGAGGGTCTGGTCGGTGTCGGGAGGGTCTGGTCGGCGTTGGGATGGTCTGGTCAGCATCGGGAGGGTCTGGCAGTTTCAAGAGGGTCTGGTCGGCTTCGGGAGGGTCGGTCGGCTTCGAGAGGGTCTGGTCGGAGTCGGGAGGGTCTGGTCGGCGAGAGAGAAGAAATGGAAAGGAGTGTCGATCTGTGAGAGAGAAAAAAAAAAGATGGGTATGTTCAATCCCGAGAGAGGGAAATAAGTTTTTTTAAGAGCTCGTTTGGTTCATGGATTAGAACCATGAGATTAGAACCATTTTCAGTTTACGTGTATTTTTTATGAGAAAAAATACTATAACAAACTATGAATCATGATTCGAATTAGAGAACGAATCCTCTAACCAAATAAGCTCTAAGTGATCTTTATATATACATATGAGTCAAAATGGGGTCCATTTTTTGACACATAAGATACACGTAAAGTTATAAAAAATAAAAAAAAAATGTCTAGATCCCCACTCATGCTTTCTTCTTCTGGTCTCTTTTGTCAAATTTTCTCCCCCCATTGACGCAGCCCGTCATTTTCGGTGATTCTCTCTCTCTCTCTCTCCGTCCGGAGTGGGATTGAGCTCGGAACCCTAGGCCTAGGGAGAGGGAGCTCTTTCCGTCGGCCAAGCCACCCACCGAAAGATCTCCGGCCAAGAAGAAGCTTCCAGACTCGCCGTCGAATACATCGAAAGCCATGTCGGGAATCCACCGGTCTTCCAGTGTTCCACTCAAGGCCGGCCTCCCTCCGAAAGAGCTCCTCGACGATCTCTGCAGGTCCAATTCCCGTTCCCACTCTCTTTCTTTCTAAAATTTTCTTTGCTCCGTTTGTTTTCGTAGAAACCGGAGGAAAATAGGGTTTTTTTTTTTTTTTGGCGCAGTGTATTACGGTCTGTTCTTGTCGAATTCTGGTCTTTGGGTGGATATGGTGTCTGTTAATTGCTTGAATTAGCCACGGTTTATTTCTAAGCAATTGAAAATAGTGGAGTTTTCGATTGTTATCGAAAACTTAGCAATGTATGCTTGAAAATGAACATTCGATTAACTATTTGCGAAATTGATACTTGTTTTGAATTATAATTACCTGAAAATCAATGCGAAGTTTCTTGTGAGTTATTCAATAACAATTCATAGGAAACAAAAGAATATCTCTAGAACTGGACAAAGCATTTTGAGAATTATTTTATTAAGTGTGTACATTTTCTTTGACTTCAAATTGAGAGTCAAATTAGTGATCCACACTCCTTTTTGCAGTTTGGGTTTTTCTCTTTAGGACTAAGTTTGACTATAGCTGAGTAGTTTCTTTCTTGTTTCTTTCTATATGCAGTCGGTTTGTTTTGAATGTGCCAAAAGAAGATCTACAGTCCTTTGAGAGAATTTTGTTCCTTGTGGAGTATGCACATTGGTTTTATGAGGACAATTCGGTGGAGAAGAATCCATCACTGAAGTCACTTAATCTGAAGGAGTTCACTTCTTTAAGTATCCTTTCCAGCTTATCCTTAAGTCCATTTATTATCATTTTTCTTTTCTAAAATGTATTGTAGAAGAACCGGTTAATATTTAGTACTTTATCTCTGGGATAGAAGCAGGTACAAGTATCTAACTAATGTGGAAGTTATGTTGTTGTGTTCATTTCACCGTTTTGACTTTTCTTCTCGCACGCATATACTTTAATCTGGATGTCTTTCTATCCTTTTGAATCTTTGATATTTAATTTGTGGGTTCGGATTGCATTTTGAGGATTGTGCACATATATCTGTTACGTGTATATGATGTTGTCACCATTAAAGTCTACATCCTCTGTTAGATTAATATCAAGATTGATCGCTGATCTTTTTGTATTGTTCTGTGATTGTGTTGTATTTATTAGATTTTAGTGTAAGTTTGATGGTTTGATCACAGACCAGAATGTAGTTGATAAAGCTCTTTGAATTACTAGTCTTGATTGTTATAAATCATTATTTGTTGTATTTTTGTTTTTATATTCATTTTGCTTCACATACATCGTTTCCTTAATATGTATGCAGTGTTTAATAGTTGTGATGTTCTAAAGCCTTATGTGGCTCACCTTGATGACATATTCAAGGACTTCACTTCCTACAAAGTTCGAGTTCCTGTAACTGGCGCAATCATTTTGGATGAAACATATGAACGGGTGAGGTTTCTTGTGAACAAGTTAGCGATAATTATTCTATAATTTTTGTTTTCCATTTGATGACAGTATTTTCTGTAATCTGGCCATCCTAAATTGGGGGATCTGTTGGTGTTAGAAATTCACTTTTGTATGTCATGATCTTGCATTGGATATAAAATGGACACTTAGTCAATGTACTAAGTCATAATGGACATAGCTTCCCAAAAAAATAAAATAAAATAAAATAAAAATTAGAGATCAAGTATTGACAAGTAGACAAACTGAAATTATTAGGTATTTTGGCTAAACTAAAGGTTTTTCGTTATGGTTTTGGACTCCAATTGGGCTAACACGTTATTCAATTTTTAAGAGGTTAAAGAAGTCTACATTGGTCTTATAATCTTATAAAAATGTTCTGACTTTGTTTTTTATTTGTTCAATTTGCAGTGCGTATTGGTGAAGGGATGGAAAGGGTCAAGTTGGAGTTTTCCACGTGGCAAAAAGAACAAAGACGAGGAAGACCATAAATGTGCCATCAGAGAAGTAAGATTAACTTTCATCCAATTCATTTGTGTTGGGAGGAATTAGTTGCCAGTCCACCTGTCTGCCTCCAGTATTGGTGTAAGCTGTAATTCTTGCTGCAAATGCAGGTCCTGGAGGAAACAGGGTTTGATGTTGCTCTGCTTCTTGACAAAGATGAATACATTGAAAAAACTTTTGGACAGCAAAGAGTGCGGCTCTATATAATTGCTGGAGTGAAGGATGATACTGCCTTTGCACCCCTCACCAAAAAAGAGATCAGTGTATGTGATTCTTTAATTGGACAATCTTGCTTATCTATCTATTGTTATGTCGACGTTTCTATAAGAAAACATTATTCTTTTACTCGATTACACTTAAGTTCTGGAAAGGACTCCTGAAAAGGATGCCAACTAACTTTTTTAATGTTCTTATGCAACTGAAATGAGCTTTTAGAGTAATGTTCTTTTTTTTTTTAAAATGGTTTTATGCCATTGAATGAGCTTTGGAGTAGTTTTACAACCTTGGTTCGTTGTTTGTTTGTTTTTTCTTTTTCTTTTTGGGAGAGGGGTCTGATGGATTCATACATTTAAAGTTGTCAGCATATCGTTGAGACATTAGTAGTGTGCAAGGTATTTCTTAATGTTTGCCCTTTTTTTTGTACATGATTTAGTATTTTTGTGTGAGCTGTGATGAAAAAAATACTTTGTATAAGGATTAATTCTGTATCGTTGTAAAGATGTGTCCTTCCTCCTCCAATAACGGAAGTAAAGAAACAAAAGTACAAAATAAATTAATGATATTTTGTCTCTTTCCGAAAAAAAAGTACAAAAGAAATTACAGTAGTATGAGTCGATGACTGATGAACCTGATATGTAATTGAAGTTTTCGGAACTCCTAGGAATCACCATTGTTCAATTCTGTTTAACTTAATTAGCTTAACTACATCCTTTGGCACGCAGCTATAAGAATTGTGTTATTTACCTAAAACGAAAGCGTAACTAAGTCTTTTATAATTTACCTAAACGAAAGCGTAACGCAGCTCAAAATATTGGATACACATTTTTGTGTTTTCGATTTGTCCTTCATAATAACATAAATAATGTTCTTGCAATAGCCGGGAATATGTATCTGAATCAATTATTTTGGTGTTTTCCTCTTTTTTTTTTCTGCTTCATGATTTCCATTATATGGTTGGGTTTGTTTGTACTATTTAGAAGTGGTAGGAAAGATTTTAGCCCCTGTATCACAGTATCACTGCTGTAATATTGAGATTTTCTCCTTATGTATTTTTACTATGAAGAATTGCTAGAGTTTTTAGCTCCTGTATCCTGCACTGGTAGCTGAAATGTTGAGATCAAACCTTTTGTTTTGTCTTTGCAGGAAATTGCATGGCAGCGGCTAGATGAACTTCAGCCGGCAAGTGATGATGTTATATCTCGTGGGAGCACTGGCCTTAAACTTTATATGGTGGCCCCTTTTTTAGCGTAAGTTTGTTGTATAATCAATGTTTATAATCTTCTCTAGTGGTTGTATGATCTAAGTTTCAAAGGATTAATGTCTTCTTGCAGAGCTTTGAGATCATGGATTTCAGTACATCAGCCGCTGATTGCACCAAAACCTGATATGCCTCTCAGAGGTAATCTCTCTCTCTCTCTCTCTCTCTCTCTAACACACACACACACACACACAGAGCGCAGGCGCAGGCACATACATTCACTTGCGAGCCACTAGTCATCATGGTTACCTAGTGATGTGTAAGCCTGGGTCTTATGCAACCTCGTATGCTGCTGACGAGCTTTGTTTTCATTATGTTAGCAATCTCTGTGTGGAAAGCAAAAAACACCTCGATAGGGAATAGCGCAACGATACCAGAGACCCAGCCGACTAAACCACCTGAACCTGAAATTCCCCCTCCTGACACAGGACCTGGCAAGAGCTTCAGAAATTTCAGGTTTGACACTGCTTCAATCTTACAAGCAATGGAAGCTGGTTTCTCCGCTTGAGTTTCTAACCTGCTGCTTTGTAAAGTTGTTGAAGCTCACATCCTTGGTTACTTGATCCCATGTCACTTGTATCACTGCTCACCAACTAGTTTCTAACCTGCTGCTTTGTAAAGTTGTTGAAGCTCACATCCTTGGTTACTTGATCCCATGTCACTTGTATCACTGCTCACCAACTAGTGCGTTCGCAAAGATTGTGGCTGTGCTCCCTTGTATATTGGTGTAAGAACTTCAGGTTTGTGTTTGATGTAAATTCTGTACAGAAACCCTCTGTGTAGGCATGCGCTTCTCTTTGTTCATTCTTTATTATTAGGCGAGGTGGATTAAAGAAAGAACTGGTACATGTCTCTTTTCAATTAGATTGGGATCAAATAGTGAGTAACAGATTAGGGTGGCAGCAGTTAGATAGCTCTGCTGTTCTTTGATGGAAATATGTTGAAAACTTTCATTATCCATGTCAGGGAAATGTCATGTTATTTTGACAAACTTTTCTCTGGAATTTAGATTCACAAGAACTATTACCTAGCTTTTCAATTGCATTTAGGTCTCTGACTTTTATCCCATCCTATTTTAGTAGTTCGACCGTAAAGTTTCTTTGCTTCTGTAAAATTCCGGAATATGAGTGTGCGACGTTATGTTATAGGCCCTGCTCACTTTGTGGGTTAGAATTGTGTGGGTTTGAACTTTTCAGTTTGAACATATATATAGGTTTTTTGTGGTTCAAACTGGCGTTTGATAGTATAAGGTTTAAACATGAAATAAAGTTTGAATCAACATTAGGTTACATTATTAGAACTATGAGTTTCTAAAAAATGTTAGTGAAAATGCTTCATAAGGCCCTTTAAGTTAGTTTTGTGAACAATGTCTTGGTTTAGAACCCAAAGAAGTTTGGCGCGGGGGAGGGGGTTCTACAAAACCTTTAATTTTAGGTTGAAGTGAACCCAAAATCCAACAATATGCAACTAAATAAGGGTTTGGATTGTTTTTTTATGTTCAAACCCATGAGAACCCTCCAACCAAATGGCAGATAATTGATCCTCTTATGCCTCTAAAAGGTTTCGTGTGTCAAGTGGAAAAGGTTGAGAAGGACGTATAGCTGGACCACAGCAGTGGATTGGGCAGCTAATATTCAGAAAGATCTTTGTGTGGCCAAGGCCCAAAGATGCATGTGTCTAATCCGTTTTCTAAACTATGTGGCTAATCTTTGCTTCTTGATTGATTGTGATCTTTTGTGGTTTCGGCTGATTGTTTGGAAGTGCATACAAGATGGGTTCTGCATGTGCTTAATCGCTTCACAATGATGGTGGTGATCACTATCGAATGTTATAGAAGAATATATGACCTTGTTGGCTTTCATTGAAAGTTCAGAATTTTGCTGAGGGTATTTTTTTTTTTTGTCTGTTTTGCCCCACGGACATTTTGCAAATTCACCTTCTAAATTTAATTTTGATTAATTGTTCATTCAATTTAAAAATGTTTAATAGAGTGCTCCTAAATAGATAACGTGTTAAAATTTATATGAAAAAAGGCGACCGAGCGTGTGACATGGCGTGGTTCATCATCATCTGAAATTTCAACATCTTCCCTTAAAACAAGTTTATTGACATTTAACGTGAATGAGGAATTTCTGCTTAAATTTTAACTGCCTTAACTGATTTGGAACTTTGGATCACTTGTCATTCATGGACTAATTTGTCAAAGTTGGGAGTTTTATTAGCAACTTGTCATTCATGGACTAATTTGTCAAAGTAAGGAGTTTTATTAGCAACTTGTCATTCATGAAAATCTTAAGAGGGCAAAAGAGTCAATATCCTTTTGGCCTAGCAGTAATCTGACACTCATCTCAAAGTTGGAAGTCTTGATTTCAAATTTACCCGATTCAAGTTAAAAAAGAGAAGAAATTAGGAGGAGCATAGAGGGAAGAAATTCCAGAAGAGGCTATATCAAGTTATCAACTTTGAAAGTTCAGTATAACTATATACGTTCCTTTGCGGAATTCTTCCCTATACTATACATGAGGCAGCAAGTAGCATTTGGCTAATCAGCAGTCACTTTCTGAAATTTATGGAGATCAATTAAGCACATGACTAACGTTATGGAAAATGTTGCTTTAACATCATTTACAAGTCCCTTTCACATTTGCTTATTTGGTAATTGGTAGAATACTTATCTATATAAAAAAGAGATAAATACCCCTTAAAATATACGAGTATTAGATTTTTATCCCTAACACTTGATTAATACCCTTTAATTCTTTAGCTAAATTGGTATATTAATCAAGAGTAAAAGGTAAAATATCAGAACAATGCATTTAAATGGTGAGCTCACCAATTATCTTTACTTTTTCTATTTAGTCTAATTGTGTACATCTTAAACTGCTTTGACAATCCTCTTTGACAACTCAAGGATTTTGAAAGGGCAATTTTAAAAAATATCCCTTGAAATGGAGCCCTTTTTATTCAACTCCTTAATATTAGTCCATATATTTTTATCTTTTAGACTAGAATTAGTTAAAAGGTAGAGATTTTTAAAAGATGTATTTTTAATAAGTTAGATACTTAAAATATAGAATTTATGGGCGTGTTTGGAACTCGTTCCAAAATGATTTTATTTTTTGTATGAAAATGAAAATAAAAACGTTTTCAGTCTCAGACAAAAATCATTTTTGAAAATGCGTTTGGTAGTTTTATCAAGAGATTGTTTTCAGTATAAAAAAACCCAATAATGTCTCTTTCTCTCTCTGCTCGAGAGAGGAGAAAATGAAAACAAAAAATGAAAAACGAGTAAAAGTCATTTTTCATTTCTCTCTCATTTTATACTAAACTAAAAAATCATTTTTAATTCTGTTTTTTGTCTTTATTGCGTCAAACGCCGTTGTAGAAATGTTTTCATTTTTTTCCTCAAAAAATGTGAAAAATAAAAACAGAATCAATTCTAAACACGGTCTATAATTTTCTCATTTTAAAACGGTGAGTTAAATATATAACATTATCATACTAGTCATTAAAATAGAAATATAACAAAAGGCTTAGATTATTTTACGAATAGATAAAACAAAATTAGTTATAATAATTCGACTTGAGTTTGTTGCATAAAACGTGATAATCATTATAATATTACCACGTAATTTTTCAATTCCTAAAATAGTACCCAAAAAAAAAGTGTTGTATTTCCGTTTCACTCTTATAAACATGTCATTTGGTGTAATTTTTCTAGAAAGTTTTCGATGAAGCATACCTAGATTGACTTGTGAGGGGGCTGCCCATTTTGAGTCCTACATTGCATATGCCTGAAAAACTATGATACATAGGAATTCCTTATGATTATTATGGCTTGTCTTTCTCCTTCATGAACCCAGTTGGACTTTTTAATTGATTTTATTCTCTTTGCATGGGTTAGTTAGACAATGATGTATGTGGGTCTAAAACCACAAATATTCCTTGTGGTCTACATATTGTTCTTCTGTTGTGCTAATCTTTGGATGGGATATTTGTGATCTCTGCTTTTGAATTCTGAAGTTGGTCATGTGGTTCAGATTGTTTTCCATCTTTTGCTCAGATGGTCTTTGTTTGCCTCAATTTCAGCATCTAATTTGGTCACCTCTTCAACCTTTACAGAGTATCTCCTGCACTAAATTAGCTTCTTTTCCTATTCATTTTTGTCTGGCCTAGTCGGCATCTTATGCAGACTCGCATTTTGCCTTGCTTGTTGAAAGGAAAAGGAGAGGGGATTCTATGGGAAGGTCTACCCTCGTCTTTGTGGTGTCCTTTTCCGTCCATTTTCTTATAAGCACTTTCCATTTTCTTTACGCAGGCCTATAATTCATATTCATTACGTTTTTTTTTTTTTTTTAAATGCATGTGACAATCTTATCGGTCAAAATTTTTCAACTTTTATCAAGTGACATCTGATAGCTTTTTTAAAAAACATGTATTGTACTTCTACTTTTCTATTCGTTTTTTTAACTATCTTGTGACGCTATAATATACTCACTTTGTCTCTCATAACTTAGTAGTCTAATGACAAAAGTAATTGGATTAGGTAATCCTCAACTCGTTTTTATAGGTGGTAGCTTATCACTGAATCATGTGTTGATATCACAAGACTTCCGATAATACTAGAGTTAAGTTATGATTCAAATTCAATCGCTTTAAAAGAATATTTTTAGACTCGTTACATTAGACATTTTCTGAGACCCTTCATAAGATTAAAGATCTATTCTCAAATTCTTGTTCTAAACTCCATTTAAATTCATTAAACAGTAATAGCTAGCAAAATTTAATTTGTTAATTACAGTCATTATATGGAGAACACTAAACTAATCCTTTTTAAGTCATGAGAAGTAAAGTAGGAAAATGGGGTTTCGTTTTGGTCCCCTTTATTTTATTTATAAATGGAACAGTGATTGTTCTATGTTGTGGTCTAGTACAATTGTGAGGTAACGAAAAAAAAAAAAAAAAAAAAAAAAAAAAAAAAAAAAAAAAAACTTATTAATTTTTTTCTCCTGTGGACCACAAACAAATATGTGGCCAATGGAATCGACCAACCGGTTCAAGAATAACGTTGGTCACACATGCATTACTAATGGAGGGGCTCAGTGTATTTTAGTAATCTCCTTCGCCTTTATACACAGCAAAAATCTCAATTTGGTGCCCCCACAAAATCTTTATGTGTGAATCCTCTTTTTTGGACTTTGTAGAATATTATGGCAGAAAAGGGTCCTTTCGTTGTTGCGTCTTTTGGTTTCTTTTTCTTACCTTAAAAACGTCTCTTCGGATTTGCTCGGCGTTGTTGGCACTTTCTTATAAGGACGTCGTAAATCAATGAATGGTAATGCTTTAACCAATATCAATTTGGAAATTAATTTCAATTCATCAAGGTGGTAGTCTAATTGCTTTAGGTGTCCTTTAAGTGATTTGATAGATGAGAGTTTTTCAAATTCAAATCCGTGTAGAATACATTTTAGAATATTTTAAAATGTATATGAAGTAATGTTTTGTCTTTAACGCGGGTAGTTATAACTCAATAAGGATATCTATCAATACATGTGAGTTTTGTTAATCACGCCCCGTTTAATTATATTTTATTTTAAAATTAGATATATTATGTATAATATACTATAATATATAATTTTAAGTGTAATCTATTACATAATATGTATGAAAATTTAAAACTATCTTTTTTGTTTGTTTTTTACTTAATATTTTGTATGTTTATATTGTTTAATTATTTATTTATGTATTTTACAATGAAAATAAATAATCGGATAAATGGAGCACCGTGAATATTCTGAATCTATGACGGAAAAATCCGCCCATAACTCGTCAACTTATGCAGTTCATGAGACGGACATAGTAAGTAATTTTGTTCGCAGAACGGGTTAATAAGAAGACCGCCCCGCTCCAAATCCGCCCCTTTGCCATTTGACTCA